CACATGATGTCATTACCAGACAGAGGGAAGGACACTTAGCATATTAGCCTTTTATAGAGAGAGATATTTTAATTAAAAGTACATGCTAATATACCTATGCCTGGGAAAAATACTGGGAAGCAAATACACACACACACAGGTGGTTATCTCTAGTTCTCCTGGGAGAAGGGGGCAGGCATGGATGGTGGGAACTGTCCCCTTTCCCTACTTCTCCTGCCTTACGTCTTCCCCTATTGGTCTCTTTCTGCCCAGCAGTGCACCAAGACTCACAGGGCGCCCCACCCCACTACGGCTCAATAATTACGGGCTCAAGTCCAAGCCTTTGACCTTTGCATCCCAGGTCCTCCATTAGCAAGCCACCGACTGAGCTAAGGCAGGCGAGCTCCGAATGCTGGTGCCCAGTCCTTCCCTCGCTGGTCCCTTTCTCCAACTCCCAACCCCTCTGCAAGGATCATTCACACCGGACTTCCTGCGGGAAGCCCCCACCTACTTACCCTGCAAAACCCAACTCTGAGTTCTTCGCAAAGAGAAGAGGAAGCAGCTCTGAGCACCCCTACACTGTACTGGGTTTCTCTCTAGACGAGGACTGGCAAGCTGACACGTACAGAAGCCTAGCAAGCAACATAGGAGAATAAATAAATGAAAATGAACACCAGGCCTGGTGGGATGGGGCACACTGTGAGAAGGAAGTGGCCGCCCCCAGCTCCTGCCAGGATATGTTCCTACACAAGCCCAGCACGACAGACCATCTGATTCTTCAAGACAGAGACAAAACACAAACTTGGATGTGCGAACACTCACTTTTTGGCAACTGGTGCAATTTTTAAATTTAATGCAAAGCAAAACCCATACTGAAATATCATGTTTTATTTAGCACGATGACCAAGATCAAAAAGTATAACCTGTGCTGGTCAGTCCAGCCAAACAGATACTTTCAGAGCTGGGAGGTGTCTAATTCAGGATTGCCTTGAGGGAGGGCAACTTGGTGATAACATCAAAATTATAAATGCACATTCACTCTGATCGGTAAGTCCTCTTCAAGATATTCCCATATGGGGGAGTGGGGTGGAGGGCATCAAAGGGAAAAAAAGGGGGGTATATCTGTAATACTTTTACAATAAAGATACATTTTTTAAAAAATACATGGGCTTTTTTTTTAATTGATTTCAGAGAGGAAGGGAGGGATAGATAGAAACATCAATGATGAGAGAGAATCATTGATCGGCTGCCTCCTGCATGCCCCCCACTAGGGATGGAGCCCACAGCCCGGGCATGTGCCCCTGATCGGAATCAAACCTAGGACCCTTCAGTCCACAGGCTGACACTCTATCCACTGAGCAACACCAGCGAGGGCTACATGGGCTTTTTAAATACATGCTTTAAAAGTCTTTAGAATGACCTTCTCAAATTGATGCGTGGTTGCCTCAGGAGGGGCACGGGTAGCTGAACGGAGGGGGTGGGATGGCAACTGAGTCTGCAATGTGCACACTTCTGTGCCTTTTAAACACTGAACTATGTGACTTTGTGCTGATTAACTTTTAAATCTAGAAACGAACCCCCCTACCCCGCCGCCCAAATAGCACACAGCTCTCAGTGTGCGGCCTCAGCTCCCAGCTGTGAGCTCGTGGGTCAGGCCCGGTATACAGCAGGTGCTCATTCACGCTGGGAGGGCTGATGACTCTCTCCCAGGCCCCAGGCACCCAGCACGCATGGACCTGCTGCCTTACCTCATGCACTTACAGTTGACCGAGGTCACTGGTACATGGTTCTAAGACAGGTCTGATGCCACAGCACACAGCCAGCACCAGCAGCC